CTACATCAAACTAAAAAGCTTCTGTACAGGAAAGGATACAATCAGTAGAACAAAAGGCATCATACAGTATGGGAGACTATATTTTTAAATCACTTATCCGACAAGGGGTTAACATCCAAAATACATAAAGAACTCACACACCTCAACACCCAAAAAGCAAGTAACTCCATTAAAAAAGGGGGCAGAGGATATTTACAGATACTTCTCCAAAGAAGAAATTCAGATGACCAACAGGCACATGAAAAGATGCTCCACATCACTAATTATCAGGGAAATGCAAAATAAAACCACAATGAGGTATCACCTCACACCAGTTAGGATGGCCAACATGGATAAGACTAGGAACAACAAATGCTGGCAAGGATGCAGAGAAAGGGGAACCCTCCTACAGTGTTGGTCGGAAAGTAAATTGTTTCAACCATTGTGAAAAGCAATATGGAGGCTCCACAAAAAACTGAAAATAGAAATACCATTTGACTAGGAATTTCCCCGAAGAAAAGTAGATCCCTGATTCAACAAGACATATGCAACATATTTACCCCTATGTTTATCGCAGCACTATTTACTTTAGCCAAGATATGGAAGCAACCTAAGTGTCCATCGGTAGATGAATGGATAAAGAAGAAGCGGTACACATACACAATGGAATTCTATTCAGCCATGAGAAGAAAACAAATCCTATCATTTGCAACAACATGGATGGAGCTAGAGGGTATTATGCTGAATGAAACAGGCCAGGCAGAAAAAGGCAAGTACCAAATGATTTCACTCATCTGTGGAGTATACGAACAAAGGAAAAACTGAAAGAACAAAACAGCAACAGACTCACAGACTCCAAGAAGGGACTAGTGATTACCAAAGGGGAGAAGTGTGGGAGGGAGGGAGATGGGGATTCAGGGATTTTATGTTTAGTATGCATGGTGTGTGGGGTCACAGGAAAAACAGTGCAGCACAGAAAAGGCATATAGTGAATCTGTGGCATTTTACTACACTGATGGACTGTTACTGCAATGAGATATGGGTGGGGACCAGATAATATGGGTAAATGTAGTAACCACATTGTTTTTTCATGTGAATCCTTCATGACAGTGTGTATCAGTAATACCTTAATAAAAAGTTATAAAAAAGAATAAAGCTTGTGCATGTATTTGCCTCATTCCTCTCTTACCATTTAACCTGCCATTGATTTTCTCACCTATAAATGAGAAAGCAACTGGTATAATTCCAAGTCTTTTTTTTTTTTTACTTTTTCATTTTCTCCTTTTCACCTTCTATACTTTTTTATTGAAATATAGTTGATACACAATATTATATGGTTTTAAGTATATAACAGTGGGTGGGGAGGGAGAGAGAAGGGGATTGATAAGTATTATGATTGGTACACATGGTGTCAGGCGGGTCACAGGGAAGGCAGCGTAGCACAGAAAAGACAAGTAGTGACTCTGTGACATCTCACTACACTGATGGATAGTAACTTCAATGGGGTATGGGGGGGACTTGATAATAGGGGTGAATGTAGTAACCACAATGTTTTTCATGTGAAACCCTCATAAGAGTGTATATCAATGATACCTTAATAAAAAAAATTTTAAAGAATTCCAGATACTCAATGTTGGGCAACTATTAAATCAGTACTTGAATTCTCATTGTAACTCTATGTTCTGAACCTGCATTTTACGTTTTCAGAAAAGTCTGACTACAGAAGTATCTTTTCTGTGTGTTTAAATAAACTATTTTCCTCCAAAAAAGGAAAACAAAGAAAAAACTGGAGGAGGGCCCACAGGCCAAATTTTGCCAACTCCTGCTCTGGAGTAAAGGTCAAGACCTAGAACTCTACGTGAAAGCAATACAGAGTAACTCTAAACTGCAATAAAACCAGGCCTGATGAGACCAAGGTGCTCTTCTAGTAAATACCTGTCAATAAAATTCCTACCAGAACAAAATTCAACACCCTTTAAATGAAGAAAAGAATAATCCCCACTCATTACATCTTAACATTCACAATGCCCAACATACAATAAAAATTTACTAGATATGCAAAGTGGGAAAATGTGACTCTTAATTGAGAAAAAAGTAAAAGAAACAGACAAGATTAAATAGCTCTTACAAATATAAACAGCAATGTTATATAAAAGATAAATACATTGAGTGAAGGGATGGGGAATCTCCAGCATTTTAAGGGAATAATATAAAAGGAAATTTTAGAACTGAAAATTGTAATGTGTGAAATTTTAAATTCAACAGTTAGGCTTAAGAACAATTTGAGACTGCAAAAGATGTAGTTAATGATAGAGCAATAGAAATTATGTGATCTGAAGTATGAGATTAAAAACTGAAAAAAGTCAATGACTTTGGAAAATATGAAGTGGTCTAAAATACATGTAATTGGAGTCATAGAAGGAAATGAGGGAGGCAAAGGGGCACGAAAAACATTATTAGTGAAATAATGGATAAAGTAATTCACAAATTAGGTGACATTAACCTCAGGAAATAGAGTAAAGAAAAAGAAAACCAATGCCAGGCATATCATAGTCAAAGTGCTAAATAGCAAAGATATAGAGAATATTTTGTAAGTACTCAGAGAAATAAAGACATATTTACATAGAAGGGAATTAATCATAAAAATATAGCTAACTTTTCATCAGAAACAAGGGAGAGTTCAGATAGTAATGGAAAAATATGTTTAAAGTATAGAAAGAGAAAAGTTAAAGTCCAGAGACCTATGTTCATCAAAATATTCTTCAAAATGGAGGCTAAAAATAAGAACAAAAGCTGAGAGAAACTATACAGCAGACCTGCATTGTAAGAAATGAGAAAGGAAATTTTATAGGCTGAAAAAATAATACCAGATAAAAATTCAGATCTATACAAAGGAAGAGCATTAATAGTAGTAAATATGTAGATAAACATCTAAAGCTATATTTTTTCATTACTTAAGTTCTTTAAAAAACAACTGATTATTTAGAACATATTTTGTTGTATTATAGGATTTACAATGTTTCTAAATATATTTTATGACCTTAGCACAAATGTAAGGGTGTAAATGTAACTATATTATTGTAGTTTTACATATTATATGAAAGTACAATAATTTAAATTATACTATAAGAATGCATGTCCTGATTTCTAGCATTGGCAACCAAGAATTAAGAAAGATATCTGAAGATATAAAAAACACTAACCATAATAAAAAATTTGATAAATTGTACTTTTTCAAATGTTAAGCTTTTGTTTCTCAAAGGACACAGGTATGAAAGGAAAAAGGTAAAAGCCATAGGGAAATGCTACACACATGTAAGCATATGCCTATGTGCGTATGTGCACATTATAAGTAAATACTATATAAATACATACATGACAAGAGCTCATATCCAAAATACTCGAAGAACTCCTACAGTTCAATAATAAAGTGACCAGGAAAAAGTAGAAAATGGTAAAACATTTTGACATCTCACAAAAAAAAAACACATGGATAACGAACATATGAAAAGTGCTCAGCATTATTACAGAGGAAAATGCAAATTAAAACCACAAGGAGATATTATTTCACATGCACACACACTAGGATGGCCAAAATAAAACAAGACTTGACAATATAAATGTTGTGAATATATAACTCAAATGTACTAACAAAGTCTACAGTGATACAACCACTTTGGAAAACTCTTCGACAATTTCTTATAAAGTTCAACATTTATCTTCTATATGACCAACTAATTAAAAAGAAGTGAAAAGAATGCAAGATTGGATGGATGAAGGAAAGGAAAGAAAAGAGGAAGGGAGGGTGAGAGGAAGGGAGAAAGTCACATAAATATCAGACTAAAATTTACAGTGAGATAATTATGAGAAGGCAGATGCTGAAAAATGTATGCTTATCAATTTCTTTAATGAATAAACTATTCAAAGTAGTAAAAGAAGCTATGTCAATATCTTCTGCCCACCAAAACAAAGATCTGAGCTACCATAACATCCTACTAGATCTTCCTCTAAGGAACTCCTTTATTTAAAAATATAAAATTTAATTTAAATATGTATATATATATGTGTGTGTGTGTGTGTATAGGTACACACACATGTATATGTGCATGTGTGTGTGTGAACATACATACATATACATTCAGAGATATACTCCTGTTAATGATATCTAATGCCACAACTCTATATAATGAAATGCTATTGTCAGGCAAATAAAAATATCACTTGGCAGAGAACAAGCTAGCTAGAAAGCAAGAAAGATTAAGACAAGGTAGGAAAGAAGCCAGGGACATGGGAGAACACATCTTTTTTGCACAGCTGAATAATTCCCCAGCATCCTTAGCTCAAGGTAAAACTTTCAAGTTCCTAAGAAGCCATTCTTGTCATAAGGTATCCAGAAGCCTTAAATTTAATTCTCCTAAACATAGCCATATGAAAGGAAATGATACATAGTGAATACAAGAGAACAGAAAGGGTTACAGCCCAAACATAATTTAATATTGGTATTTTTCAAAATAATTTAATATTCCTCCATTGTTGCTATAGGTGAAGCTAATAATCCACTCTAAAGAAGGTGGAAATTAAGCAAAGGAGCTTCCCACTTTAACAGTTTAACCCACTCTCTCCTTCAGGAAATAATTAACTGTTGTCTAAATGAAGGTTACATATTCTTCCTTTAAGAGGAAAAGAAAAACAATCTGAAATTTTTCATTGAAAATTAGAGTTTATAGAAACACCACTGGCTTGAATATAGTTAAAAATATCAGAAAATTAAATTGTTTTTCTAATAGCTTTATTGCATTTTGCATATGGTATCTATTATAGCCCAAGAGCAATTATTTAAACTTCATAAATATTGAGCTACATTATTCATAACGACTATCTAAAAAAATATGACTCTTTGCAATTCACATATCTATAATTCCAACTAGTACCAAGATTATCTTCAACTTCTTTCAGAAAAAGGACAGCTATGCCCTTCTCAAGTATTCAGTCAAGATCCAAAGACTCCTTTGGATTCTTACTTGTTACAGCCATCCGGCCGGCTGTCAGAAGGGCCAACCACAGTGTCCATGAATGTCGCAACGTTGGAAAATCCAGAAGGCAATTCATCCCATTCATCAAATTTGATGCCACTGCCCAAGGAGTAGGTGCCTTCACTGCACTTGCTGCATACCTGGTTCTTCATTTCTAGATACTCTCCAGAAGCACAGGAGAAAGCTGGAAGCAGAAGGATGTATAAGCCATTAGTCACTGCATGCCCACATCAATTCCTCCCCTTCCATATAAACAGAATCATTTTTATAAAGCTCTAATCATGTCACACCCTAATTAAAGCTCTCCAAAGTCTCCCTTATCACTTCATGCACTTTACCATCTGACCCCAACCAATTTTACCAGGTTCATTCCTTGCCCCATCCTCTTCCAACCACAACAAAATTTGTATCATTCCCAAAATCCTTCATCCTCTTTCTTGCTGCAGTGGTCTTCTTTCTCCAGAGATGTTGACCAACCCACCTGCTCCACCTGGAAAACTCTTGTTCCTAACTCAAAAATGACCGTTTTCATAACAAGCTCCCCTGCCCCACCTGGCAGTCAGTCACGCCTCCCTTTGTGCTCCTACAATACTCTTCTCATAACACCTCCATTAAAGTACTTACATATATATATAGTGTGTATGTGTATGTGTATGGACCACTTATCAGCTTATGTAAAACTCTGAGCTTCCACAAAACAAGGATCATTATTTTTGGATTCCTAATCCTATGTGGCAAATACTAAGTCCAAATAAAAGGTTGATGCAGGGAGAGAGAATTAACCATACCGCCACAGGTAACGAGGAGGGAGTGAGGGGGTAGTGTTTCACAGGCTGTAACTAAACCATCATCCCCACTCTGAAACCATGAGCCCACTTGTTCAATATTCACAACTCCAACCTAGTCATTGCCACTACCTACATCTTATTACTATTGTCAAATTCTGTGCTAATTTGTGAACTGTAACCAGAGACACAGGCATGAGCAATGTTAAGAAAAGCTAACAACACAGTTACAAAAAAGGAGGTGGTTCTGCTGTTATTATTCATTCAACAAAATGCAAATCTATGTCCCCCAAGTGTGCAGCTCTATGCTGAGGATGGTATTAGTGATTCAAACACAGCAAAGGGCTTTCTAATCCTTTAATCAGGATAACTAAAGAAACAAGAACAAAATAAAAGCTCCAAATTATCCGATGAAGGAAAACAAATCTTCAAGGTAGATTCTCCTTTTAGAATACATTTGGAAACCCAGCAGGAAATAAAACAAGCTAATTTTGAAACACTGAAGAATTAGAACTAAAACCCACACTCATCTACTTACTTATCCACTTACTAAATGTGATGTTTTCAGAAAAGCTTAAGATGTTGTGCAATGGACTTCTCTCAATCAACATCTCCAAATTAGCAACACATCAGAAAACAGGAAGAGGGTAAGGCAAATATTAAATGCTGGCTACAAGATCAACTATCATGACCAGGTTGTACCACTTCCTAATTCTGGACCTTGAATGAATTACTTCACCTCTCAGGGTCTCAGTTTCTATCTCTGAAAAATGAGATAATAATCTCAGTACTGCCTTATAGGACTATACTGAGAAAATAAAATACACTACAAAGTGGTTAGCACAGTGCCTAGCATTTAATAAAAGTTCACTATCAGTTATTATTATCACTACCAGCACTGTTATGAAAAATTTATTTTACTTTCTATAGTATAGGTCTTCTAGTAGACTTATAACTAATATCACAAACTAAGAGCCAACATTAAACTGAACTATAGCTGACAGGCCAAATCTGGCCTGCTGCTTGTTTTTGTAAATAAAGACCTATTGAAACACTGTCACAGCCATTCATTCATCTATTCTCTTACCGCTGCTCTCACACCACAATGACGAACTGAGCAGATGCCACAGAGATTCTATCTGCTAAACTGAAAATATTGAATTTCAGATTAAATAAAGTTTTCTTCGAAGGCAATTTAGTCTAGTGCCCAAAACTGAACTTCTAACTTAGTTAATAATAAGTAACACTTTATGGTAAGTTGTTATAAAGGACTCTAGAAGTTAAAAAGAAGTAGAGTGTGTTAGGTTATTTCAAAAGAGTGTTTACCAAGCTGTCAAAATCATTAAGAATATTCCCAACTCTTTCAGAGGTATATCCTTATCTAAGACTAGAAGGAAAACTAAGAAATAAAGTTGAAAGTGAATGTACTGAATACCGATTTTACACTCAGTTCTATTATTCACAGTAGTCATATACTCGTGAACACTAAATTAGCAAATACTAAACAATTCATTGCTCTGAGGGAAACTACAAGGTTAGGCTTCTGTGAGCCTCTGGTGACAATATCTTTGTCAACAGATCAATATATAACCTTGTTTTACATGCGTGTTTCAATTGAAGACATTTTATTTACTATACATATTGTTGACTTATTAACACTGGAGTTACAGCCAACAGCACTACAACTCATGCTTGAACTAAGCTTATTTAACACATGTATTTTCTCCAAAAGGCACATCACAGCCTTCTTGTACTTAGGATCATGAGCCAGCACTTCAGCACTACATGTGGGGGCCATTTTCAACTGTAAAATCATCAATGAAAAGCACAAAAATGCCAAAAACATTGCATTCAATAGACTGTGAAAGGCCACTTGTTGACTTTATGAAAAATGAAGAAGGCAGAGTCTCAGCTTGTTCGACCTCAGCTGGGACCTTGTGGTCAGGGGACTCAAATTTTTACTGCTCTGCACACATCTGCAAATGACTGAAAGTTTTATGCGTATTGATTTGGGGGTTACAAGTAAATTTTATAAAGTAGGTGAATTATTAAATACGGAATCAATGAATAATGAGGATTGATACATTTTTAATAGACCTGTGAAGGGGGAAGTTATTATGCCCATTTACCAGATAAGGAAACTGTGGCACAGTACATTTAAATAGCCCAATTAGAAAGGTATCCAGCCAACAACTGGCGAAGCTGATATTTACATTTAGGTCTGTCTGATTCCAAGCTGGTGGCCTGAGAAAATTCATTTCAAGAGATTCTTATTACGATCAATGCAAAAAGGACAAGCAATTCCAAATGAATTCATCATTATATTTTACATCATTCACTTCCTGTCTTGAACTGTTAAACAATCAATATTCATTATTGTACATTATAAAGTAATAACCATTCCCCACCCTCAGATTTCTTATAGAACTTTTAATTTCTTATACCTAAAACACACACATTCATGAAATATTTTAGCAAGTTACTAACTTCCACTAGTCTCAATGTCCTCATCTGTACAAGGAAGATAGTAGTGACACCTATTTCATAAAGTTGCTGTGGAATAAATGAGCTATTCCATATAAAGCATTTATTTAGTAGTGTGCCTGGTACAAAGCATTCAATATATGTTAGCTATAATTATTTTTAATATAACTCAGAAGTCTGGGACAGTAAGAGTTCTGCCACTGGATTGATGCTTTTCCATCTCTTCAGAATAATTACCCAGTCAAAGTTATTCAAATGGGTACAGGGCCTTTAATAATACAGGAGAGCTAAAGACTCTAAACCTTTTTGTATTTAAATCATTTGCTACTCCTCAATCTTTTTTCCATTCTGGAAACCAGCTCTACAAGGACATGTCAAAGGAAGAGAAGAACCACATGTTCCCATTAAACACAATTTACTCCATGAGATTATGTCAACACGTGCTGCCGACCTCTTTTGGCAATCACCACTAAGGACTAGCTTTTCCTTTTCTGGTATTGTATATCTGAGCCATAGCCACTGTCTACTTCAACAAGCTTTCTTGGTCTTTGGTTTTTAGTTGGATTGTAAGGGTTTTATAATCTTAGGGACTATACTCTTCCTGTCCAAATTTGTTTAGAGTACAATATTGGACCCTTTCAACAACAACAGGATGATAGGCAGTTATTGTAAAAAGCTGTTGTAACCACTGTAAATGTGAATTGACTATAGTCCATTTGCACAATTAGTCATTTCTAAGATAAACACTAGTTTTCCTCCACAACCTCGAAATCTTAGAGTAACTGAGTGAAAGATAAGCAAACTCCAAAGCTCTCATATGAGATCAAAAAGACCTTACATTTGCATAAGACCACACACACTACTTCACAGTGGGTTCAGTTCAGGATTTCATATATGACCTAAGCACCCAGCAAGAGAGTGATATTAAAACCCAACCTCTTGAATTCGAAACTGTAACCAAGAAGTCATGTACTAGACTCAGTGTTCTTTTTCTCGGCTTTATGCCTCTTCTTTTCTGACATTTCTTTCTGTTTCTATGAATCTGTGAAGGTTGAAATACGCAGGTATGAAGAATCACATATGGAAAAAAGCATTTATATTCATCTGTCACCAGCTATCAAATGTCTGGAGCAATTTACTTAACTCTGTGTGCCTCCACTCATTCACATTCCAATGACAGAACTACCTTCCTGCCTCCCTCATAAGACTGCCTGTGATTTCCAAGCCACCCTGACAGTAAAAAGTAACATGAAAATTCAAAGCATTACTATGACCATGGAACCACCCAGAACAATGTAATAAATAATGGTAACTGAATTGAATCATTGTATGTTGATTATCATTTATGATTTATGCTTAACAATAAAGAACATCTATTTTAATCTTTTCACCACAAGGATATCTTAGTTTCCTTTTTCTCCCTCCAGAGACCTCCTGCTTTGAATGATAACAGCCATCAGTTACATTTATTCATAATCCATCCATTATTCTATTTAATTTTAAGTTATTTATTAAACTTGTTTTCTAAACAGTAAACAGCAATAATAAGTAGTAATGAAAGGATTTTTAATTTACTTGCTTAATGAAATGTTGATGAATTAGCCTATGCAATCTCATTAAAGGTAAGTATCTGGGAATCACACTACATTAATTTATTCAACAATTATTTCTTGATTACCTAGTATTTGGTAGGCAAACACTAGATAAAAGGATATTTTGGTGAATAAGATGGAAATGGTCCCTACTCTCATAGAACTTCTAGTCTAGTCTAGTTTAGGCTTATCTTCCTCAAAACAGATGGAATTTACATTTCACTGAGCTAAATTCACTGTAAAATCTCTTATCTTTTAGTTAATAGCCAAAAGAAAAAAATACATACGTTTATGAGAAAATGATTAATTAAAGCAATTTCAGA